AGCCAGAACCCGTGGCAATTCATTAAGTGACTGCAACTGCTTTATGTTATGATCCAATTTCTGTACTTCGGCTTTTCAGTGCTTCCTGCTGCTACATGTTCTCCCTCTGGGTCTTGATGAATCACTGGGGTGTGAAAAAGTAGACAACCTGGAGAAAAACAATGTCACCAAATTGATAATGATTGTCTCTCAGTCTCTGCTGATTTAGGACGGGAAAGAGGAAGGGATTTCCAAAGCCCATTCTCCACCTCCTCATGTTATTTTTAGATGGGAAAATTTGCTTTGATCAATCTCGTACTCCTTGAACAAAAAAAGCTTTCCTTCTGTGCCACCCTCCCCCCACAGGATGCTGCCTTGTCCCCACAGAGCCAGATGGTGACAATGGGCCTGAGGGGTCTGTAAGGCCAGACATCTTTCACAGATGCTCTGCCAAGAAAATTTGCCCTGGTGACATTTGAGAATGTTTATAGGGCAACGCAAAGTTGACTTCTGTATTACCCGATTACGTGTGTCTTATTTATGCTCAAAACCTATTTAAAATGCTAAGTAGGAATACCTGTGTTTTACGAACCATGATAAGTGCTGTGTTAAAAACCCATGTGATAGCTAGTTTTTATGCATACATTAAATCCTTGCTGAGACCCAGAGACACTGTTTGTTCTAACAGCCTAGATTCAAATTTTGGGGGGGATGCTTCAGTATGTTAAAGCATAAGCTTAAATTTGCCCTTTAACCTACCTAATAGTTTCCAAATATGCATTCACGTGCCCATCGTCTTCTGACTTCCTTCATTGTCATGGCTGAATGCTAGTGGTCTATTCTTCAAAAGAGTGAGAGTACCATTAAGCCTCTCTTGAAAACAGTACTGTCAGACTGACGTCTAGCTGCCATTCATGCAACGCACACTGAACACATCTTAAAAACCCAACACTTCTATGAGTTACCCTAAAGGTGTTTTCAAACATTATTTCCAAAACACTTTTTGTTCCAAGTAATGTGAGTAGGCCTAGCAATTTACTAATTTCCAGCCAAGTCTGAAATATCAAAGGTTAGTCCTCCGAGATGGCAGTGTACGAAAGAATGGGAGCTCTTGTTTTAAAATCCAGCTGTGTTGGTTTTACAATGCAGGGCTGGAAAATGGCCAAAAGACTTTATTAACCTTCTTTTCAATCTTTCCTAAGAATTCTGTCGTGTCTAGGATGCCAATTACACTCCAAGAATTCATGCTTATTTTCTGGCACCCTGGGGGTCCCTGCTGTTATCAGTAGAGTTAACTGCAGTGGGTAGAGGTTCAGGATGGAGAGAGTAAGTGTTGACCCAGGTATAGGGTTATATGTGCTTCACCTGGCATCTCAGTGACGTTCAGGACCACTCAGGGGCTTGACTGTGGCCCCAGAGAAGAGGAAGGAGTCCCAGCACATGCCCACCATTGGAGGCTTGGTCTTGATTGCTTGGTTCTTACTGTAGTTTGGTTTTGTCCTGTTTCTGTTGACTATCCTGGTTGTTGTTTCAGTCCCTCTAGACATTAAAGAAAGTGACGCGGAAAATGTCAGGCGCCAGGATGCGGCCGCTTGCCTCCTCCCTGGCGCTCTGCATCTCTGCAGGCCGGCACTGCGTGTGCCAGTTGGAGGGCACGCTGCTGTGGCAGGGCCCCATGGTAGAGCCGGCTGGGGCCCCACGGTGCACGTGCTAGAATGCCCCTGGCCCTGCATGCTGCTGCCTGTTTCCGGCCACGCTGCTTGCTTAGTCCTGATTGGGTAATTTTTGAATCCCACTGTTGTTGATTGGATGCTAAAGCTTGTTGCTGATTGGATGTTAAAGCTTGATGTTGATTGGATGTTAAAGCTTATAGTTGATTGGATGCTTTTTGAGCCCTACCAAGGGTATAAAAATAAGAGGAGAAGAAGGAAGTGGGGGCAGAAGATGGAAAGAGAGCCAAAACACTAGCTGTGCTGAGCCTGCTGTGGAGGAATAAAGGCTGTTCTCTGACTCTTCGTGTGTGTGTGCGGCTCGATTCTTCCCCCGGTCAAGAGCTGTAACACTAGCTGTACACATTGCTGCAACAAAAGCACCTGTAAATTCTCGTCCCAGGAACTCTAAGTCACCAGAGTACGTTAGCTGATGGCACTGTGTATCAGTTTATGCTGAGACAGACAGTGTGGGGCTGTCTCCTCTCATGGCACTTTGCCTTTTGGACAGCTAATGGGAACATGTGCAGACACTATTAGAGGGCATATAGGGCATTTTAGGATGAACTTGGCCAGTGGCAGGGAATGTTCATACACTCATTGGTGTACTCAGAGAGCTAAGTGCTTTGAATTGTTTTTTTTTTCTGATTTAGTTTACTCATCTAGTCTCCAAAAGAAAATGAAAATCTCAGGACCAATCCCCAACTCTTTCTGCAAAAGGAAAGATCAAGTGTGGAGGTTACTGACATTACCCATTCGCCAGATCCCCACGGGAAAGTAAAAGGCCTCAGGCATCTATGGAGGATGTCCCCACAGACCATTCACAGACCATTGCTGGACTCCCAGAAACAAGGACATGCCAATTGTAGTTTTAGGTCTGCAGTCTAAGTCTAGCTCCTAAAATTAAAGTCTGTTTAATTGCACACTGATAATGTTGATTCCAAGCTTATCTTCCCAGGTGCAGAACAGAGACAAGATCAATCATTTCTCCACCTACCCAGAAACATTTGTGTAATTGATTCTTCCTTTACTCCCTTTTTCCCTTCAAACATTCACCTTATCTTATGTAAAATGCATATTTCCTGGGCCTCAAAAAATGTAATCATTTGCCTCTCTACCCAACCCCCTGCTCCTTTTTCTTTTCTTTCTTTCTGTGTATGTGTTTTGAGACAGGATCTCTTTCTGTCACTCAGGCTGGAGTGCAGTGGCACCATCATAGCTCACTATAACCTAAAACTCTTGGGCTCAAGCAATCCTCCTGCCTCAGCCTCCTGAGCAGCTGGGACTACAGGCATGCGCCATCATGCCTGGCTGATTTTTTGTACTTTTTGTAGAGATGGGATCTTGCTATCTTGCCTAGGCTCATCTCAGACTCCTGGCCTCAAACAATCCTCCCACCCTCAATCTCTCAAAGTGCTGGGATTACAGGCATAAACTATTGTACCTGGCTTCCTTTTTGTTTCTATATTTCCTCTCCCCTTTAAATACCGAAGTTTCCAAATCCCCATCCAGAAAAAACAGTCACAGATATGTCTGTGGTTTATGTTTTTCCTGGGCACATTCTCAGCCTTTGGCTTAATAAATTTCTATTGATTGAGACTTTGCCTCAGTCACTTATTTTGGGTTATCAAGTCTTAGCTCGATATGTTTATTTGTGATTATTTGCTTAGCACCTTCTATGCAAAATCTAATAATGAGTTTCCAATTAATATTTATGACATTGTTCTTCACTTTCCACTTCTTCCATTGTGAGCTCCTGAATCTTTTCCTGTGTTTTTCAGCTGTGTGTCATCAGCCTTGGAGGTAGTGGTTAGCTCATAAAAGAAACTCAAAATATATCTATTAAATTAATAACTTCTTAAAGTTTTGATCTCCAAAGGGGACTTGATCCTTTCAAGTTGATTTTACATAATTGAAGCAGAAAGGACACAGAAAGTGATTGGACTTAGAACCTGAGTTTACCTGTTGGCTCTGATACCTTCACTAAGGAGCCCAACCTCTCAGCCTCGATCCTAACCTGCTAACCTGTGGCGTGGGAGCAACGTAACCACCTCACAGGCTTCTCACAAGGACTAAGGGATGGGGCATATGTGAAGTTCCTGGCACAAAGTAGTGCTCACGATCATCATTACAAGCAGACTAAGAGTTAAATGGGTAAGAGAGAGGGCTGTACAGCCACACCTTGGCTCTAGTCTCAGTTCTGCCGTTGTCTTGCCGTGTGATCCACTGACCCTGGCACATGGTGAGTGATGGATAAATTTTTAAATCACTTCTCTAAAAGAACATGCAAAAAAGATATTCATATCTGTTTAGGAGGAAGAGACATAAATTTGAGAGGAACAATTCTATGATTGAGCCTGAAGTTTTGCTTTGGGTTTCTGGGCAACCACGGCAATAGAAAGAAACAACAGTCTGCATAATTATCATCGTCAGCTGCGATTAGTCAGTGAGACCTGTCCTGTCCAACTCAGGAACTAGTAGCCACACGGGGCTATTGAGCATTTGAAATGTGACTCATTGGAATTGAGCTGTGCTGTAAGAGTAAGATAGTCTGGATTTTGACGACTTGGTATGAAAAAGTAAAATATCTCCTTAATAAGGTTTTATATTGATTATATATTAAAATTGTGGAATGTTGATTATTTAGATTATTATTAAAATTAATGTCACCTGTTTCTTTTGACTTTTTTAGTATGGCTACTAGAAAATTAAAATTTTCCCTTCTGGCTCTCATGATCCCTCTATTGGACAACACTGAACTTTACTCTCACTATTCTAAGTGGAATTCATTATCTAGACTTTTATGTTACTATAAAATAACTATAAATTTCAGTTTGTAATTATATATTACAATATCAACATATTATGTTTACTCTCGTAAAACATGTAAGTATTATATTAATATATTATAAATATGTACAATTATTAATATTAAATATAAAACAGAATGTTGTATATTGTTATGAACTTCATATTTTTTTATAAAAGAGGCTTTGGGCTCAAATGGATAATATCTTCATCTACAATTTGAAGGAAAATTTGGTAAGTATCTTGATGAGGGAGAAGTAATAATTGTAATACCTACCATTTGTTGAATGCTTATGTATATGCCAGGCACAGTCCTAGTTTCTCTACGTCTATCAATTCATAAGTAGTGCAATGGACTGAATGTCTATGTTATTCCAAAATTCGAATGTTAAAACCTCATCACCAAGGTGCTGGTGTTAAGAGGTGGGGATTTTGGAAGGTGGTTAGACGAATGGGGTTCCTGCCCTCATGCAAGAGACCAGAGAGCTGCCTCATCCTTTCTAGGATGTGAGGACACAGCAAGGAGCCACCAGGGCACTGGCTATGCAGTGGGACGCGGCCCTCACCAGACACTGAATCAGTCCTGATGTGTAAGTAGAAATTCCACTGAACTTTGCTTTTAGAGCCTCCTGCTTATAACTGGCCATGCTATTGCCTTTGGTTCCTTCCAGTTCATTCTGGTCTCCCAGCTGCCCCTCCTCTGCTCTGGGATGCCAAGGGGCTAAATAGTTGCTCACGGGTCTGGTGGGCTGAGCCCCGGGCTTTATCATTGACTATTTAGTGAGCCTTTTTCCAGGTGCTAGCTGTTGACGAGAATGCAAAAGAGATGGGAATCTTTGCTTCCCCCAAAGAGTTCAGTCTGGCTGGGGAAACAAATGTAGCACACACAAGACAATCCAGTCACGTGGAGCCATGCACAAGGAAGTGGCCAAGCGGGCCAGAAAAGCCAGTGCCGGGGAAGAGAGGGGTTGCCTGGGAGGCTGAGGACCTCTTTGCAGAAGAGGAAGGACAGGAGAAGCGGGATCCGGGAGGATGGGGGTTTGGCTGGGCAGAGAGCAGGGCGGACACTTACCGTCTGCCCTATTACTGAAATGTCAGGCATGCCTGTCTTATCTCCCAACTCCCTGCACACTCCCTGGGGAAGTGACCTTTCCCTCAATAGCCCACATAGAGCCATGCATACAGTAGGTGAAAAATAAACACCTGTGAAATGTGGTTGTCCTGAAAGTATTCAGAAATAGGACATTAATTTGTAATTGTTGCAGTTGTTAATGTCAATAATGAGACCTCTTTTTTAAATGAATCTTTTAAAAATCACTGTTATTCTCTTCTGAGCACCTCAGTGAATATACTCATGATAAAGCCAGAGATTTCTAATAGTTATCTTAAATTGGTAATTGTTTTATGCTCTGATGTTGACAATGTTCTTTTTAAACTCCGCATGGATACTTCTTAAAAACCAAATTTTACCCCAATCTACAGTGTGCTTAAGAGCCCACTTCTACACAGCGGGGAGGATGATTTGCAAGCCACAGCCCAGACTAGAGGAACTGGCTTTCTAATAATTAGGAGATGAGATCATTGAATTTGGAAGCCTGGTAGCGATGGGAAGCCAACTCTGGCCCCCAGATGTGAGGAGTGCCGGCGGATTTGCATGTGAGCTGTAGTGTGCACGGGGCAGAGGGGCCAGCGGGTGACAGGACTCCCTGTCCCACCTCCTCTATGGGACCCGGGAACCAGAAGGGAAACACAGGGAGGAAACTAAGGCAAAGGGAAAGGCTGTATCTGGAAGGCAAGAGGTCTGTTCACACTAGTGTGCTATTCCTTTTTCTTTTCTTTCTTTCTTTTTTTTTTTTTTTACATTAACCAGCAACGAACTTTGTATGGATAAGCACCTCAGTTTCTTGTTTTCCAAAGAGGAAATGGGAGCAGACCAGATGAAGGAGGCAGAGCACTCTCCCACACAGCTGGCCTCCTGTGGCGAGGCGTGTGGCCGTGGTTCATAAACAAGCAGGGTGATGACCTGTCACAGAAGCCTCCGACCTGGCAGGCAGCAGGGGACACGAAGGAGTTTGGCCTGAAATGCTCTGACGTGTCACCGCCTCACTCTCGGGCGGCTCCTGAGCACCCAGCAGAGCGGGACCTGGGAATACCCTTACTGGGCATCTGGTCGGAGTGAATCACGCCCGAGCCTGCGGCTGAGGGAGATTTCTAGCGTCCAGCCTTGGGTTCTCAGCGTTTGCAGACGCGGACGGGCCGAAACCCTCTGGAGAGAAGGCACTGGCGCCTCGCCAAGGCAGGCAGCCCGCTCTGTGCTGCTACTAGGGAACCACGGCGACTCCGAAATGCACCCTAAGCTGCCCTCGCATTGTGACAGTTTGTGTTGGCCTGAGGATCTAAAATTAAGACTCTAAACCGAGGAGAGTAACTTCAGGCTGCCCGGGAGCCACTGGGGACTCACATGCAGATTGCAGATTGACATTTGAGACCCTTCCCTCTTTACCCCCACTGGTCCTTCCACACCTGTCACCGGGCTCATCTGAGTGGTCTCTGTCCCCAAACCCTGAACGCACCTTCGCTTCTGTCCTTCCCCCTCCCTCACCTGCTATGACTTGCATGATTGTTCCTTTCAAATCTCACATTGAAATTTAATTGCCATTGTGACTGTATCAGAAGGTGGTACTTCTAAGAAGTGTTTAGGTCATGAAGGCTTCACCCTCCTCTTACAGCGGAATGGGTTCCTTATCACAGAATGGGGGCGTTATCACAGGAGGACATCCGCCCCCTCTGGCTCTCTGTCTTCCCCTCTTTCTGGCAGTCCTCCAGGGATGCCTTCTGCCAGGTGACAGTGTAGTACCAAGGCCCTTAACAGGTGTGGGCACCTTGACCTTGGACTCTCGCCTCCAGAACTGCGAGCCAGTACATTTCTATTCATTATAAATTTCCCAATCTGTGGTAATTCCATTATAGTAGCACACAGCAGACATCCCATTTGTGACATCCCTAGTGACATCCCATTTGTCTCTCAATTGTCCCCTTGTGCCGAAGCCGCCTAATCAGCTTCCCCCAGAGAGAGGCTTCCTTCTTCTCTTCTCCCAGAAAGGCCTACGGATAAGACACTGCTTTAGAACAATCATGAGTGGTAAAATGGATAATCTGGCAATTCTAGCTCAACAATCTGCTGCCTGATACAATTTATTAAACTCACTTTGCTGCAGCAGGTACAGAATTAGACACTGGGAGCAAAGATGCAAAGAAAGCCAAAGTGCTAACAGGACAAGTGGGCTCTGGTTTGTACACTGATGGATAGTGTTTCTAATGTACCTAAAATATATTATCGTGTAATATTTATGCAATAGGTTTAGATCTCATGTTTATGGATAATTATCCACTTTAGTATAGAAACCTATTATTATACGTGCATAATAAATACACAAATATACAGTATAGTTTATAATATTTATATAGTACTTACAAATATGTTACTTGTATTTGTTTCTAGATATAACCTGAGACATTTACTGAAAATATAGATGCCTGGGTCCTCCTCCAGGGGTTCTGATTCACTTATTTCTAGATGGAGCCAGATGATCTGGGTTTTCTGTGGAGCTACTGAGGCGACTGGTCCAAAGAACTGCTCGGAGAAACACCAACCCAGGACAGGCCGGCACTGCCCCTTCTCCCACTCCCTCCTGCTTTCTCCGTGTTTGGTCCTCTCCCAGCGCTGGGCTCAACAAGATCCCTGTGGGTTGGTTAATTTTATGTGTCACCTTGGCTGGGCCACGGTGCTCAGATACATGGTTAGGCATCATGACGGGTGTTTCTGTGAGGGTGTTTCGGATGAGATTGACATTAAAATCAGTGGACTGGGAGAAAAATAGATTTCCCTCCACAATGTGAGTTGGCCTCATCCAGCTAGTTGAAGACCTGAATAGAACAACAGCAAGAGTGAATTCTGAGCAAGAGTGAATTCTGTCAGGGAAGTGTCTTCGGACAGGAACTGCAACATCAGCTTTTCCTGGCCTTCGGTCTGCTGGCCCAGCCGACAGATTTGGGGCTTGCGAGCCTCCATGGTCGTGTGTGCCAATTCCTTACTATAAATCTCTTTCTGTAATGTATACACAGAGCTGTGCAATACATGCTCTTGGTCCTGCTTCCCTGGGGAACCCTGACCAACATACCCCTGAGAATTTGAACTCAGATCCTCACGGCCAAGCACACACACCCACCTGTGTCTCCCAGCATGTGGGATGAGCCTGACCCCCTCAGAACCACCCAGGGAGCCCTTGAAAATGCAGGTTCCTAGTCTGCACCCCCAGTCTCTCACCCAACAGGGCTTGAGTCAACCCTGAAATCTACAATTACAGAATATTTGGCTATTTTTTAGTATGTGACTCTGAATCATTTCAAAATGTGAGTTACTCTAGTATAGAGCTCTGTGAAAAGCACAATAAATAAAAACCAGTGCTTCTGGGAAGGGATTTGCAATTTGAGTGAGAACGTCTATTTTGGAGTAACAGCACCACAATTGTACTGGGTTGAATAGTGTCACTCTCAAATGCATGTCCTTCCTGGAACCTCAGAATGCGATTATATTTGGAAATAGGGTTGTTACAGATGTAACTAGTTAAGATGAGATCATACTGGAGTAGGGAGGGCCATTAATTCAGAATGACTGGTGTCTTTCCTCTTGAAAAGAGTCACAGAGACAGACACAGAAGATGGCCGTGCGATGACAGAGGCAGAGATTGGAGTGTGGCAGCTGCAAGCCAGGGAGTGTCAAGGATTGCTGGCCACCACCAGAACCTAGGAGAGAGGCATCCAATGGATCCTCTCTTAGAACCACCGAGAAGGAACCAAACTTTCTCACATCAGGCTTACACTTCAGGCTTCAGGACTAGGAGAGAATAACTTTCTGTTGTATTAAGCCAGCCAGTTTGTGGCACTTTATAACGGCAGCCACAGGGAAAACTAATATACCCACTTACTGTAAACAACCAGGAAATTGGACAAAATACGTAAAACAACTGTTTTCAGACATTGGACAATTGGCAGAACAGGTCTATGATCCTCGAAAGAGGGCAAACGAATGTGGTGGGGCAGCACCCATATGACAGCATCACCGCCAAGGCTAAGCGTGGAAAGTTCTGTATTTGTGGTGCCTCAGTCCCTACTGGATGGAACTTTCCATGATGGGAAGTGGCTGGTTTTCTAGACCTCTAGATTCCCAACTGTAGCCTGCACATTGTTGTTCAGATTAGGCCCTAGGTAAAGAATTGAGGAATACTCTTACACTGTGTTTCCTAAGCTGACTTTGTCTTTTGAGGGTTTGAGTCTGTAACAGTGGTTCTCATCCCTGGCTGGGCATTAGAATGAGCGGGAGAATGTCTTTAACCTATGGATGCTGGAGCCCCACATCACAGCGATGAGATGCAGATCCAGGAGAGAGGTGGGATCCAAACTTCCATGTTTTCTAAAACCTCCCCGGGGCGATTGTATCATGCAGCCAAAGAAGAGGCTCATTGATCTTAATTTTACTTTTCAAACCAGTCACTAAGCCTCTTTTAATAATCTGCCTAAAACCTAACAAAAACAGATTTTTCCCCCATGTAAGCATCTTATACATTACCCCTCTAATATTTATGTAAATGCATTCTTACGTGAATTCACCCAAACAGGTAGACGTTTTGTTTTATGGGTTACTGTCATGTTACTGTCCTCCCACCGACTCTGGCCACTACCCAGCTTCTTGGTGTCACACGGCGATTTCCTGGAGAGGCTATGTGTCCTCTCATCGACTCCGAGAAACCCAGGTAGATTGGTTTCCCAGGGCTGCTGTCACAAAGTACCACGGACTAGGTGGCTTAACACAACAGAAAGTCATGCTGTCACCATTCTGGAAATAAGAAATCCAAAACCAAGATGTCAGCAGGGCCATGTTCTCTTTGAAATCTCTAGATGAGGACCCTTCCTGGTCTCTTTCTAGCTTCTGGTGTTTGTTGACAATCCTTGGTTTTCCTTGGCTTCTGCCACATTAGGACATGTTTGTTCCCACCGGAGTAAGCAGCGTTCGCCATGCCATCTTTGCTCAGCTCTCCCTAGACAGTGAACCTGCTGGTGCCTTGACCTTGGACTTCCCAGCCTTCAGAACTATGAGCAATAAATGTATGCTGTATATAAATTACCCAGTCTCAGGCATTTTGTTATAGCAGCACAAACAGACTTATACCTTCTTGAGGGATACAATGCATCCCACAACACCAGGATTTCCGCATACTTACTGATTTTTGAGAAAATCACAGAGAAAGGAAATATACATATAATCAGCCAAGTTTTTAGTGCAGATAGGTGGTAGAGCTAAAATAAGGGTTTGCTCAAGGTGCTATGGGGACGGTGAGGGGGATTGCCTAGCCATTAAGTTAGGGTGGGCTGGTGGGGAGCTCAGGGCAGCCTTTCCAGAGTGGGGTGGGAGAAACTCTAAAGCATTTGGAGGGACCTTGCCACATGGAAGCGAAGGGCAGGAGCCTCTGGCAGAGGGCACAGAGCTCCTAGCTGTGTAGTCATCTCTGTTCTCTGTGCCTGGTTCCCTGTCATGTGCAAAGCATACATTTCTTGATTTGAAGGGATCTGAAAATAATCTAAGAACTGCTGCTTGCAGTTTCATGGTTCTCTAAACCTCGCACCTGGACATCTGAGGAGACAGACATAAAAGGATGAGACTCAGGCGAGTTCTCTAGATGATTCAGTGGGAAACTACTGAAACTCTCAGCTGATGGGAAGAGCGTGCTCCCTCTGGGATTTCAATTTCTTAAGCTGCTGTTCCTCCTGTGGGTGGGATCTTGGAGAGGTGAATTGAGAAGTTGGACCAGGAATGAAGAAATGTCGCTGTCCTGATTTTTTTCTGCCCGTGCTTCCAGAAGGAAGTGAAGTGGTGTGTTCCTCACTGTGGCTTACTGCCAGCACAGCTCCCCAACCCCTGCATTTTCACGTTTTGTATTTTGGAGGCCAATTCCTTTGCTTTTATTAGTTTCATTCCTTTGGGTAAGACACACACTCTTCTGACCTGTTTTTTTTTTTTTTTAAAGCTTGCCACTTTTTCATCCTTTGTTTAGTGATTTGGAGCCCCCAGAACTCCATGTAGACTCTCTGTACAGAGGAGAATGTCTGAAATAAGAGGTGATTCTCGTGTTCTGGTAGCAAATAACAAAAATCGGCAAATCACCTGTCACAAAAAAAGCAGCGGAGGTTTTATCTAACTTCCTACTACTCAGCCAAGAAGGATGACTTAATGTTACAAGGACTATTTAAAAAGTGTGGTAACTAATTATCTTTTGTATGTATCCAATATTTCTTTGTGTTTTACTAGTCCTTAGAAATAGATGTTATTGTATCATTATGGGGGGAAAATCGTGTGTAGTAATGGTTAGCTTAGCTTCTCCCCGCTAGGAGTGAGGTTTTTATGGCTCTTTCACCGAGTCTGCCTTTTTTCTGTGTGTGCTGGAGTGAAAAGGAATCAACCCCCTTTGGTCATGAGCAGATTGCCATGCTCTCAATCCTTCTGCCTCGGCAGAGCTGGGCGGGACTGCAGAGTCACCGGGAGGCCCAGGGCCAGAGCTGGCGGAGGTCTTTGTCCTGTCCTCACCCAGGAATCTGGGGGAAAGAGCTAATGTAAACCACAGGGAAGGGAGGAACTTACTTTAAGTAAAATGCAGCACCAAGCTAACAAAAATTAAAGAAACTATAGCCTTAAAAGTTTGGCTTTAAAAAAAAAATAGCACATAACCCTATTTATAACATTTGGCACAAGAATTCTTTTTGAATCATCTTGTGACAAAACCCATAAAATTGGCTAATATATTAGCTGGGATAAGGTGCTAAGGTGGTTACAATGATGTGCTTTACACTGATGTATATACAATGGTTTGAGACGTCCTTATAGTGGTAGTAAATGTGTCCAAGGTTTTTGAGTTTTTTGGCAAAACAGAACTTTGCATGTGAATATGTAACTGCTTTTGAGTGTCAAAATTGGGCTTGAAACTAGTGGTAAGCAAAGCTAAACTAGATCTTTAGTACATTTTTAGCTTTCATAACTCATTTTAAAGTAAAGAAATTCAATAAGGGATATGTAAATTGAGTCTTGAGGATTTGAGTGAGAGGTAATTCTCTGAAGATTTTGTTATTGTTCTTAAGAACATGATTAAATGCAATGAGACTAGCCAATGTGCTAAACAATAGTACAAATTTCATGAATGTTCTTTAAAAACTACTTCATGAATGCAACAACATTTACTGAGTTCCTACTAAGTGTCAGACCGCATGCAGGCACCAGAGATATTTGGTGGCTAGGTAGATGACAGAAGAATCAATAGTGGCATTTGTCATAACGGAGCATACACTCTAGGGGAGAAGATAGAAAGGAATCCATCCCGGGGAGGGGGTGCTGTGAGGACCCAGTTGGGAGCCCAGGAGACACAGTGGAGGTGGGGGGGCGTTCAGCCAGAGAAATAGTTTCCCTGGCCCCAGTGTGGGGTGGGGACAAAAAGTGCACTTAAATTGAATATTTAGTACCAGTTGACTTCAATTCTGCACATGATGCCTTACTTGATTAGTTAAGTATAAATTTGTTTGGTTCCTGCTAAAATAGTACCCTTAAGTGGAAATTAAAAAACAATAAGCCACAGATTTCCCTAATGCCGGATTTATATTTGCTGAGTGTTTTATAATTTAGATGCACAGCAAATCAGCTAAAATCAGTAGTCACAGCTGAAATACCAACACTAAAGAATATGTAGTATGGCGCTGTGTAGAGGAGAGGGATTTAGTTCATTAACATTTAAAACCTCTAATACAACTTCTAAGACAGGTTCTGGCTCAGAAAATTGCAAAGGAAAATTAAAGTAGAGAACTAGGATTACAGCAAGCTGGAAAATACTTTTACTGAGCTTTCTTTACATAAAAGAAATGAATCAGTGATTTAAAAAAGTATGTAGTTTTTATTAAGATAAAATCAGTTCATTGCTTTTGAATACTTGTTTGCTTTCTCTTTCTCACAAGGCTGTTAGCTCTACAAAGGGAAAGACTTGGTCTGTTTTGCTCACTGCAAAATTCCTAGCATCTAGTGAAGTTCCTGCCACATATATGCATTTAATAAGTATTTGTTGAATGACTGTTGTTGAATACATAAAATGAATGTCACTTTCAGAAATTCATCACTTTCAGGCTATATACATAATGCAGACCATAACAAAGAAAACACAGTGAAGCAATTCTTTTAACTACAGAGAAATTTCTGTAATTACTTTGAGCAGAATATAGCTAATTTCACTACTGGCCTTTACACATGACCTACCTGTAATCATACTTAAATTTTTCTGTCTTGGCCAGTTTTCTTACCAGCATTGTTCAAAACGTACATTTTTACATGTCAAAGCTCAACCAGATGTTTTAAAAATCACATTTGCGCGTAATTTTAAAAGATGCTATTTCTGAATTGACTCTTGATTTCCCCCCATGGGAAATGTAAATATTTGCAACTTGAAACTGTGAGTGAGCCCCGATGCCCTCTAAGAGTAAATGATGTATTGGAATTTCAACAGTATTTCTATCATTCTGAAATAAGAACTTCTTTTTTCTTTCCTCTTCTCCTCCTTCAGTTAGGAGCACTGCAGTCTAAGCTTCCGGAAGGTCGGTACCTAACCT